CTCGGACGGGCAGGCATGCACCTTCACGTTCATACTGCATGAGGAAAAACTTGACGACTACCCTGGACCTGGGCACCAAGACGCATGCATCGACATATGCACCGAGTTCGCTGAGCTCATCGTGGCCAACCTCCTGGATCGGTTGGGCGACCTCGACAAGCTCTCGGGCGTGAGCTTGTTCACCCCCGACAATTGGCCGCACGGCAGGCACGAGCGCCAAGCGAAGTGTCAGGAGCATCTTGAGGCGCTGATCACTCTCTTCCGAGCGGAAGAGTGCGAGGAGATCATACCTGGTGAGCCCGATGCCTTATGTGTGCATGCCGTGCCTCTCTCCATCCTTGTGTCATGTCGGATTTCGTATCAACCACTATGTTTCCATATCCATGCTTGTTTTTCTAACTGCAGGTGTCGACAAGAAGAAAGCAGTCAAGGAAGTGCGACTGCTAATCCCAGTCCTTTCACGTGCACCGAAGGGTGAGCGAGGATTCCACACTGGTCTTACCGCCATGCTCAAGACCGACGACTGGCAGCAGCACTACCCGAACCTGGAGCGGCTGTGGGTGGCGGTGGCGGTCCTGCCGTTGAGCACAGTCGAATGCGAGCGAGGCTTCTCGCGGCAGAACGTCATTAAGTCCTGGCAGCGAGGCAGCCTTAAAGATGCTCGGCTTAGTGACTTAATGTGCATGTCCCTGCTCCGTTACAAGCCCAACTGGGACGAAATAGTCGAGATCTGGCGTAACTACAAGAAGCGGAAGCCGCTCAACACCTGCAACATCTCCAGGCAGGAGGCAGATAGGAGGCGTAGGGGGAAGGAGGAGGCAGAGGCAGGAGACCGGGCCAACCCTGTAGACCTAGATGAAGAGGAGGATGTAGGTGCAGGTGACGGTGGTGATGATGAGGATGCGATGTGGTATTAGTAGTGGTTGTATGCGATTGTTAATGCTGTTCGCTTGCTGAACTATAATGAATCAATCAGCGTGGCAATTGTTATCAACAATGATTAGAAAGTTTTTTCCCAGAGGCAACACTGATTTTTCAGGGTGTTTTCACACAACGACCCTGACATAAAGTTTTTTTTTTTGTACTAACACTGACCAGAAAGTGTTGACAAAAACCAATCTGAGGCCCTGCTTTCAGCCTTACTCTTTCTACATTCTAGCTTCCGCCACGCTGGCATCATGTCTTTCTAGCACTCGGGACTAGTATATTAGCTCTAGTTTGCTTCATTTTTTCCCGTGTGGTCTGAAGAAGGCTACGGTATAAGCCGAAACTGGTTACCGCAAAAAATTTATCTACAAGAGATTTCAAGCAAACCTTTCAACTAACAACATCAATTACAGTTGAATCAGTCGCTGCCACGTAAAGACATGGCTCATATCTGGGGCTCCATTGAAAAATAAGTTCTGGTAAAAAATATATTCATATATTGTTAGGCTATAGCGGGGCTAGCCTTAGGGGGTACAACTTCTAGAATTTCCAACTTGTACTCCCATCCTGTTAGTTCATATCATACCATTCCCGTTTGGTACGTTATTAACAGTGGCAACACCCCACCCCCCCTCCCCCCCTTCTCCCCTCTTCCCCCTTTCCCCACTCTTACCCCTCTCCGCTGCTGGGTTGGGAAGCCCCGCGCTTGCGTGCTAGGGGTGGAGGGAGAGGTGAGGGAGAGCTACCCCTTGGAGGGGGCGGCCATGTTCTGGTACACCCTCAGCTCGCCCATGAAGCTGCCCGCCACGATTACCAGCCCCAGTGCGGACGCCCTCTCTGCCGTGCCCTCGCCCCACTGCCACCCCCCTCCCTCGCCCCCTCCTCCCCCTGCCCCTCCTCCTGCCCCTCCCCCTGTGGCTGCGGCTCTGCCCTTGGGTGGTGTGGGTGCGGCAGCTGCTGCAGCGGCTGCCATCTGCTCTTTCCGTCTCGATGCTGCTGCTGCCGCTCCACCCGCTGCCTGTGCTGCTGCCTGTGCTGCAGCACCTGGTACAGTCTGCGTTGGCCCCTCTGTGCCTGCCACTGCTGCTGCCGCCGCTTCCAGCCCGTCGGCTGCACTGCTGCCGCCGCCCCCCAGCTCATCACTTGCCGCCCAGGAGGGGGAGAAAAGACGAAGAGGGCTTCGTGACGCCCCTGGGGCAGCAGAGTGCAGCGGGGGCTTGCTAGCGCCTGCTGCTGCTGCTGCGCCCCCATCTGCTGCTGCCACACTCCAACCTCCGTCCTGCACTGCCTGTCCCGAACCATCGCCAGGCGCAGCGCCTGCCCCGCCATCAGCGATGGCCGCCACAGCAGCTTCAAATCGCTCCCTCACCGCCTTGTCCGCCTCGCCCGACCCCCCCAGGTCCGTGGACGTGCTGTGCTGCCCTGCACTGCCGCCCACGCTGGCACTGGTGGTGGGGCGGCTGGGATTACTGTCCCCATGGCTGCCCCGGCTGCTCTGCTCCCAGTCCGCGCCCGCCAATGTTGGTGAGGGAGAAGGCGCCACTGCTGCTGCTGTGAGGGCAGCCGCACCCCCGTAGAACAGCCCCACTGTGCTGCCGCCACTGCTGCTGGCAGCGGCAGGCGCTGCAGCAGTGGCAGGGGAAGGAGCAGCACCTGGGCGTGTCGTGAGGGTGGCAGCAGGAGAGGCGGAGCTGGTCCCCCGGGGGATGAGACGTGGCTGGTCAGGCAACAGGCCGGGCAGAGAGGCGCTGGCAGCACCACCTGAGGTCAGCGACGACTGGCCCACTCGCCGCCTCTCCACCCCCAGCGGCCACACTGCCACTGCACTGCTCACGCTCGGGCACGCAAAATACTCGTATGCCTTCTGCCGGTCATTCGGCTGTCCGGTTTTGGCAAGGAGCCCAGGCGGGTTGAAGAGGAAGATGGTGCCGTCCTCACTGGGCGTCACGATGAAGTCACCACCCACACTGACCGCCGCCGCCAGGTGCGAGGCGGTGTTCTTGTGGCCCTGCAGCTTGCACTTGAGCTGCGCGCCCTGGTACAGCTGCAGGCGCGAGTCCGCCGCCGACACCAGCACGTGGGCGGACGACCCCGGCACCGCCTGGATGCCCGTGATCTTCTTCGGAGGAAGCTTCTTGGCCTTTGCGCCGCGCAGATCCACTGACTCGTCCAGACTCAGCTCGCCGTCAGCTGCCGGGCAGAGCATGTATGGGGAGAAACGGGTCAAGGAGTTGAACGAGTGCATGCAGTGAGAGGGGTGAGAGGGGTTACGGAAATGCAAAATTCTGGCAATGAGGATGGACAATTTGCATGAACGCCGTGGTCTCGTGTGTTCTCTCGTGTGCAGCATGATGTGGTTACCAGAGATGGAGTAGAAGCGGCAATTGCCGATGGCTGTCCCCACTGCTATGCCCTGTGAGAGAGCACGGCACCGCCACACAGAACAACACACCAGGGAGAGAATGGTTAGAGCTCCACATTCACACTAGGGCACAAAACAGTGCATCCATACGAGAGCGTTACAAAGCCTTCACAGCACGCTCCTCTCTGAGCACACAAGGCTGTGGCAGCACGGGCGGGCGCACCTGGGCGTCAGGGGTGAAGGCACGCACCTGGGCGTCAGGGGTGAAGGCACGCACCTGGGCGTCAGGGGTGAAGGCACGCACCTGGGCGTCAGGGGTGAAGGCACGCACCTGGGCGTCAGGGGTGAAGGCACGCATCTGGGCGTCAGGGGTGAAGGCACGCACCTGGGCGTCAGGAGTGAAGGCACACACCTGGGCGTCAGGGGTGAAGGCACGCACCTGGGCGTCAGGGGTGAAGGCACGCACCTGGGCGTCAGGGGTGAAGGCACGCACCTGGGCGTCAGGGGTGAAGGCACGCACCTGGGCGTCAGGGGTGAAGGCACGCACCTGGGCGTCAGGGGTGAAGGCACGCACCTGGCCATCAGGCATGAAGGCGGCGGCAGTGACCATCTCGCCCACGTCCACCCAGTCCAGCACGGCGCCCTGCGCTGCCGCCCACACGCGCACCCTCTCATCCAGCCCCCCCGTCAGAAACACATTCGCCTGCCGCGGGTGGAACGCCACCGCCGTCACTGTGGGGCAGGGGGTGCAAATACGTGTCCTTGCACGAGCATGGAACTCAAAACAAGAGATACAAGAATGGGACAGTAACAGGCAGTTGCAATGCAAATTGCAAAAGCCCCCTATTCAGTTTGCACACGAAGCGGGCCCATGAATGCCGGCAGCTCGGCGCGATTTATGGTGGAACAGTGCACTTGCCTATGTCGGGGTGGGGGAAGACGCGCAGGCAGTGCGAGGAGCCGACATGCCACAAGCGCACCGTCCTGTCCGCTGATGCCGACACCAGCAGCGGGCGCTGCATTGGGAGGGGGGGGAGGAGACGGAGGGGCACACGTGCATGGGGACGGCGATGGGAGGTCTTGTATGCATGGATATGTGAACAGTGGGTCTGGCAAGGAGGGAGAGAAAAGAGGATCACTGAGGCAGGTGTTGAGGAGGGGCATGGGGAGGAGCATGGGAAAGGGCATGGAGGAGGGGCGTGGGGAGGGGCGTGGGGAGGGGCGTGGGGAGGGGCGTGGGGAGGGGCGTGGGGAGGGGCGGCATGAGGGGCGGCATGAGAGGCGGCATGAGAGGCGTGGGGAGGGGCGCACCCCGTTGGGCGCCCAGGCGAGGTCGAGCACGTCAGCAGAGTGGCCCGTGAAGCAGCACAGCGCCGCCTCCTGCAGCCGGAACAGCGCCACCGCCCGCCCCATGCTCGCCCCGCCACCCCCGCCTCCGCTGCCACTGCCACCCCCGCGGCCGCGTGGCGCTGCCTCTGGAGGTGCGTGGGGGGCGGCAGAGGAGGGGCGCAGCAGGGGGTGCATGGGGGAGGAGGGCACGGAGCGGAAGCCAGACGACAGCAACGCCGCGTGGGGGAGGGCAGGCGGGGCCATCTCCTCCGATGCGAATGCCGGCGTGCCATCCGACCGCTCCCGTGGGTACCCCTCTCACCCGCACCTGCGCTTCCTCCCACCCCTTCACCGTCGCACCTCCTGTGCTCCCCCCCCCAACCTCCACCCCTCCACTGCCCCCTCCCCCACCCAGCCGCCCCCCACGCCGCTCCCACGTGCCCACCACCACCTCGTCCGCGGCGCCACTCCCCTCGCCCACCCCCCCTGGCGCCCCCTCCACCCGCCACACGCGCACGGCGCCGTCCTGCCCGCCCGTGGCCAGGTAGCGCCCGCAGCAGCTGAAGCGCGCCACCCACACGGCGCCGTCGTGCGCGCCGCGCACCTCCTGGCGCAGCCACAGGTCGGACAGCTGGCGGGCGGGCTTCCTCACAGCCGACACCTTCACCCTCACCGGCCCCACCGCAGGAGCGCCCAACGCCCCACCCCCCCCGCCTGCTGCCGCCCCTGCTGCTGCTGTCTTCGCCATGCCTGGCCCCGAGCCTGCTAGTCCGGATGAGGTTAGGCCCGAGCCTCCCAGAGGTCCGGCAGGTGGCTGGTCTGAGCGCTCCCCTGCCTGCACTGATGGCTCCCCCGGCCTCTCTCCCTGCCCCGACCATCCGCCCCCATCCCCGTTGCCCTCCCCCCCCACCGCTCCCCCTCCAACCCCCACACCGCCCTCTTTGTCCTCCCCCTGCCCCCCCTTACTCTTGCCGCCATCCTTGCCCTTCCCGCTGCCACTGCCACTGCCACTACCACTGCCGTACCCAGCAGCACGGCGGATGGCCTTGAGCCACCCGCGCCCACGGCTCGACTTGGGCCGGCCCTGCCCGCCGCCCTCCCCCCCATCCTCCACGCCGCCCCGCTCCTCCTTGCTGCCCTCTCCACCCTCCTCCCCGTCCATCCCCTCCTCGCTTCCCCCCACCCCTGCACTGGCCTTGCTCTTACCCGCCCTGCGCCCCCACCTGGACTTCCTCCCACTCTCCTCCGGTGACCCACTCTTGTCGCCACGCTGCCCCTCCCGCTCCCCCTCCCCGCCCCCTTTCCCCCCCACTTCCGCTTCCCTCTTCCCCCACGAAACCCCCTCCCTCTCTTCGTCTCCCTTCACGGTACTCCGCGTCCGACCCCTCCTCACCACTCTCAACCGCACCCACCTCTCCGCCATCCCTCCCCTCCTTCTCCGCCTTCCCTTCCCTCTCACCGCCCTCCCTATCACTCCCCACGGCGCCTCTGTCCCGTGCACTGCTACTTGCTGCAGCACTCCCTTTCCCTTCCACTGCGCCCTCTGCTGGCCTCTCCTCGCCCTCGATTGAGCCCACCATGCCACCAGCTGCAGCGGCTGTGGGCGCCAGGGGGGTCTTCTTCTTGTGCCGCCGCTCCACCACCCTCTCCTCCCTCACCGCCTGCCGCACGGCCCTCAGAGCCAGCAGCGCTGCCACATTCTCCCCCTCCGCCACGCCCTCAACCCCCGCACCGCCCACACTCCCCCCACCGGTGGACGCCCCCGCCTGCCCTCGCCCCCTCATTGCCTTCCCCCCAAAGCCCCACCGCACGCCCTCCGTGCCCATTGCCCCACCTGCGCCTTCCTCCCCCCCCCAGAGCAGCAGGGCTGGGTGCTCCACGAGGTATTCCTGGCCCGAGGCCGTGTCGCGCACGCGGATGGCACACGCCACCTCCAGCCGCCGCTCCTGCTCCTCCCCACCGCCCTCCCCCCCAACCTGAATGAACCCCACCACGCCCCACCCACCCTCTGCCCCCACCGCACCCGCGGCCCCTGACCCGGCAGCGCCCTCGCCCGCCCCCACGGCCACCTCAAGCCCGTCCAGCCCGGCTTTCCTCCGCGCCACCGCCGCTCTCTGCGCCGCCGCCGCTGCTGCCAGCGCTGCTGCCTGCGCCTCCGCTGCTGCTGCCTCGCGCGCCCACTCGCGCTCCCGTGCCTCGCGCTGCTGCACCAGACCCACGCCCCCCAGCAGCACGCCCCACGACCCCGCCCCCTCCCCCTCTCTGCCCCCGCCCCTCGATACACTCACATCCTCCGCCACGTCCGCCAGCCCCCCCACGCCCCTGCTGCGCGCGCCCTCATCGCCGCCCCCCGGGCTGCCCAGCCCTGCCGGCCCATCCGGCCCCACCGCTGTGGCGACGCGGCGCCGAAGGCGGGCAGAGCGAGGAGTGACGGAGGCCCTTACGTGGGGCGACACGGAGCGAGGCAGCTGCACCTGCATGCCCACCGCCACCCTCATGCCCCTCCCCGCCCCCCCTCCGCCTTGCACACCCCCCTGCGCGCCCCCCTGCTGCCACTGCTGAAACGTCGGCCTTCCGCCCCTCGCTGCTGCCTGCCCTTCCTCCACCCCGCTAGGAGCATCCTCATTATTGTGCGCTGAAAGCCCTTCAGCAACACTGCCACCAGCAGCGCCAGCAGCAGCAGCAGAGGGCGTGAGTTCAGGTGCCCCGTCCACTCCCTCTTGCCCCTCGCCCCGGCCCTCGTCTGTCTTCTCCGCCTCCGCCCTCCCCCCGTCCTCCGCCATCCACTCCGGCGCCACGCGCGCGCCTTCCCCCAACCCCACGAGGCGCGCGACGGTGCGCGCGAACTGCAGCAGCCCAGGCGGCACGCCACGCGCGCCTGCTGCTGTGAATGGCGCAGCCGCGCCGCCCGCAACGGCGCTAGTAGCGGGGTCGGGGGAGTGAGGGGACGGAGGCACGGCGCTGCTGGCCCCGTGCGCTGCTCCCGCGACTGCTGCTGCCCCGCCAGCACTCGCTTGTGCGTCCGCCTCTGCTCGCCGCTCCACCTCTTGCGCCTGCCGCACAACGACACGCAGAGATGCAAGGCACGACGCGGACAATGCTTGGGACGGACGGGTAGGAAGAGCGCGTGGCGAAACGACAAGTCGCAACTATCTGACCTGCTCGGACCTTCCCCGATACCCTGCCACCGCGCATGCACCCGCGCGTTAGTCACCTTCTCGCACGCCACGCGCAGCTGGTGCCACATGCGCGCGCGCCGCTCCGCCACGGTATTAATCTCGAGCGGCTCGGTCCAAGGGTTGGGGTGGGCGCCCTCGTCCGCCGCCACGAGCTCGAGCACGGGCAGCGCCAGCTGCGCCGCCGGGGGCAGCGCGGACACCGGGTGCGCGCCGTCGTCGTCGGGGTCGCGCGCGTACGCGGGCTGCGCGAGCTCGGTGAACACCGCGGGACCCATCGGCACGTTCTTTCTGAATACGAGTGGCTAATAATAATAGGGTAAAGCCGCGTGAAGCTAGTAAACGGTAGAATGTCAGGTGCGTATTTCACAAGAAAAAAGATAACAATGGGAAATCGGAAATTATGACTTCCAGAAATGGGGTGGGTCGTCGCCAGCGTAGTTTACGGGAGGGTCGTCACGACTCATGTCATGAACTGACCTGAACCGACGCTCACCTCGTTCGGTTTTTGCACGATCGATCCTGCGCATGATCGAATGTTCACGGAGTTGAAAAGGGTTCCTAGTATTTCCAGTGTAACAAGTGGGTCTCAAGTACGGGTTCTATATCGATCGTGCAAAATCGGTAGAGGTAAGGACGTGGTGAAAGTGCAAATATCGCAGGATCGTCTGCATAAATCGAGCCCCACAACAGATAGATTGGCGAAACGTGGCGACCTCGACGTTGTAACGATCGCACCTGAGAATTGACAGATCTCCTGTGATGAGTGATCAGTCGCATTCACACACCGTACATAAATCTTGGCCAAAAAGCGTTCTGTTGTCAAACTCATTTACTGCTTATTGTGTAGGTTATAGTGGGGTAGCCCATATGGGGTACAACCCAATTAGGGTTTCCTACTTGTACCCATCTTGGTGCTAGTTCATCCATTCCTGCTCGTTAGTTTCATACATGGTATCAGAGCAGTAGGTCTGTAGGACCGGTTTTTCCGGGCCCACCATTACCTAGTGACCGACTGCGGTTACTGCGTTACCCCACGCCCTGCCCTGCGCTGCGCCGTCAGCCTGAGGTCTGCTCTGCCCTTCCTTGCGTCGCGCTGCCCCGCGCACGCCCTGCCCTTCCCTGCGTCGCGCTGCCCCGTGCACGCCCTGCCCTGCCCAGCGTCGCGCTGCCCCGCGCACGCCCTGCCCTGCCCCGCGTCGCGCTGCCCCACGCACGCCCTGCCCTGCCCCGCGCCCTGCTATCCTGCGCGTCGTGCCCTGCTGCAGCCCGCGCGTCGCGCTCTGCTGCCCCGCGTGTCGCGCTCTGCTGCAGCCCGCGCGTAGCGCCCTGCTGCCCTGCGCGTCGTGCCCTGCTGCAGCCTGCGCAGCGCGCTCTGCTGTCCCGCGCGTCGCACACTGCTGCAGCCCGCGCGTCACGCCCTGCTGCCCCGCGCGTCGCACCCTGCTGCAGCCCGCGCGTCGCGCCCTGCAGCTCCGCGCGTCGCGCCCTACTGCAGCCTGCACGTCGCGCCCTGCTGCAGCCTGCGCGTCGCGCCCTGCTGCCCCTCGCGTCAGGCACTGCTGCAGCCAGTGCGCCAGCGCCCTGCCCTGCGCCAGCGCCCTGCCCTGCGCGCGCTGGCGCCCTGCCCTGCGCCAGCGCCCTGCCTTGCGCCCGCGCCCTGCCCTGCGCCAGCGCCCTGCCCTGCGCGCGCTGGCGCCCTGCCCTGTGCCAGCGCCCTCCTGTGCGCCAGCGCCCTGCCTTGCGCCAGCGCCCTGCCCTGCGCCAGTGCCCTGCCGTGCGCGAGCTGGCGCCCTGCCCTGCGCCAGCGCCCTGCTAAACCCTAAATAAATTTATATAAAAAAAAAAGGCCCTAGGTGCTTCTGCCCTAGGAGCTACTGCCTGCTGCTGCCTGCTACTGCCCTTCTCTGGTCGCAAGCCGCCCTGCTATGGCCGCGCGCCGCCCTGCTCTGGCCGCGCGCCGCCCTGCTCTGGCCGCGCGCCGCCCTGCTCTGGCCGCGCGCTGCCCTGCTCTGACCGCGCGCCGCCCTGCCCTGACCGTGCACCGCCCCGACCTACCCTAGTGCCTCCTCGCTGCCCTTCCTGCCCTGCGTGCTGCCCAGCTGGTTGCATGACTTCCCTTGACAGCAGCAGTGGGAGTGGTGGCGGGCTCAGTAGCAGTCACTTTGGAGCTGTTCGTTGGGGAGTTTCTGGCGGTGGCCAGATGCAGCTCCAACGACGTTCGTGAGTGGTACGCCCGTGGGTGTCGTGGCGGCGGCCGTAGTGGCAGTCACGGTGCAGCTAGTCGGTTGGGAGTTTCTGGTGGTGGCCTGGTGCAGTTGCAGCCGCGTCCGCGCGAGACCCTTATGCCTCAGCAGCTTCGTGAGTGGTACGCTCAGTGTGGGGGGTCTTTGAGTAGTGCTCGCTGCCAGTACGTCCTTCGCACTGGTGATCGGGCTGGTCAGACATGCGGGACACCTGGCCACACACAGTCCCGCTGCTTTTCCTGTTTGAGCGACACCTGGCATGCACAGTTTGGCGACGCGGCTAAGCTCCCCCGCTGGCTAGAGCTGCTTAGGCAGGGCGTCGATGTCTTTGCGCTAGACTATGACGCCATCCTTACTGCCATGTATACAATGAATTTTAGTGGTGAGGGTGACTGTTACTTGTGTGTGCCGCCCGACCCAGGTATAGAGGCTGCTGCTCTATGTGCTAGTGAGTCTGCTCTCTTTGGTACTGTGCCTGTTGAGACCTTGCACACTTTCATGCTTGACTCAGGTGCTTCCCGCTATTTCTTTCGCGATAGTACCACAGTCACACCACTCCCTGCACCTGTTGCTGTTAGACTGGCTGACCCCTCATGGGGCCCAGTTCTTGCCCGTTCCTCCACTGTTCTCCCGTGTCCGGCGGTTCCGTCTGGCTCACTCTCAGGTCTTCACCTCCCCTCGTTCTCTACGAACCTGGTGAGTACCGCTGCCCTCCAGGATGCGATGGTTGATACCTTTACTCGTGGAGGTCAGCGCGTGTCGATCTGCACGTGTGCACGGACGTGCCGTCACCTGGCCACATTCACCCGTCGGCCTGGGTCGAGTCTGTACACACTGACTACTGAGCCTCCCCAGGTAGCTGCGTCCGCGTCCGCGTCAGGTCAGCTTGCGGTCCCCTGCTCATGTCGCGCCCTATCGCACCAGACTCTCCTTTGGCACCACCGCCTTGGTCACCCCTCCCTGCCATGCCTCCGTGGCATGCACTCCCATCTCCTTGTCTCTGGTCTTCCCAGGTCTCTGCCTGCCCTCCCACGCTCGTCTGCCCCGCTCTATCTTCCTTGCGTCGAGGGGCAGCAGCGCGCTGCTCCTGACTCCTCCTCGTTTCCCCCGATAGAGGCTCCCTTGCAGACTCTTCACATGGACGTGTGGGGCCCAGCCCGCGTCTGTGGACAGGGCCGCGAGCGATACTTTCTGCTGGTTGTTGACGACTACTCGTGTTACACCACGGTCTTCCCCTTGCGCAGCAAGGGGAAGGTCCCTGATGTCTTGATCCCTTGGATCCGTGCTGTCCGTCTCCAGCTTCGCGAGCGGTTCCACTCGGACTTTCCTGTCCTGCGTCTGCACTCTGATAGAGGTGGTGAGTTTGCCTCCGACCTCTTGCGGGACTTTTATCGTGGGGAGGGCATCCGCAAGACGTTCACACTTCCAGCCTCTCCGCAGCAGAATGGGGTTGCTGAGTGCCGCATTGGCTTAGTCATGAAGGTAGCTCGTACCTCCATAATCCATGCGGTTGCCCCCCATTTTCTGTGGCCGTTTGCAGTCCTGTACGCTGCGCATCAGCTCAACCGCTGGTCCCGTGTCTCCTTGCCAGAGACCTCGCCCACACTGCGTTGGACGGGGGAGGTTGGCGATGCGTCGGTGTTCCGGGTCTGGGGATGTCGTGCCTTTGTCCGCGATGCTTCCGCGGACAAGCTCTCCTCCCGCGCTGTTCCTGTGTCTTTCTTGGCTTTCCCCCTGATGCGCCTGGCTGGCAGTTTTACCACCCCACCACGCGCCGTGTCTTCCCCTCTCAGGACCTCACGTTTGACGAGTCGGTCCCCTTTTACCGTCTCTTCCCTTACCGCACTGCCCCTCTCCCCCCCCCCCCCCCCCCGCCACTCTTCCTCGCTCCAGGTCCCCCTCCGGTAGACCCCCTCCCCCCTCAGGGTCCTGCTCCCTCAGGTGTGTCTTAGGTAGACCCACTCCCCTTGGTTGAGCCTGTCGAGGTCACTGGTGACTCAGGTGCTGCTGGGGGTGCTAAGCATGCGGGTGCGGAGCCTGGGGGTGCTGAGCGTGAGCGTGCGGAGCCTGGGGGTGCCGAGCCTGAGCGTGCCGAGCCTGGGGGTGCTGAGCATGCGGGTGCTGAGCCTGAGCGTGTGGAGCCTGGGAGTGCTGAGCCTGCGCGTGCAGAGCCTGGGGAGCTGAGCTTGCGGGTGCGGAGCATGGTGTTGCTGAGTCTGGGGGTGCTGCGCCTAGGGTTACTGCTTCTCCACTACCGGAGCCTCTCTCACCGCAGCAGCCGCGCGAGTGGTACGCTCAGCAGCTCCGCCTTTGGAGTGTCGCTGCTGGAGAGGGAGGCCTTGGAGCTACTCGTACTGGAGGAACTGGAGCTGCCGGAGCTGCCGGAGCTGGTGGTGCTGTTGATGCTAGTGGTGCTGCCACTACTAGTCCTGGAGGTGCTCGTACTGGGGGTTCTGGAGGTACTCTCTCGCCGCAGCAGCTACGCGAGTGGTACGCTCAGCGCTGCCGCCTTCGGAGTGGCGCTGCTGGAGCTAGAGGCACTGCGGTTGGAGCCGCTGAAGCTGGAGGTACCGGAGGAGCTGGCACTGCTGGTCCTGGAGGTGCTCGTACTGGAGGTACTGGAGCTGCCGAGGCTGGTGGTGCTGCTGGTGCTGGAGGTACTGGTGGTGCTCGCACTGCCAGTCCCAGAGGTGCTCGTACTGGGGGTGCTGCAGCTACTAGTCCTTGAGACCCTGGAGTTGGAGGCACTGGGGCTGGCGGCCTTGGAGCTAGAGCTGCTGGTCCTGGAGGTGCTAGTACCGGAGGTACTGGAGCTGCTGGAGTTGGTGGTGCTGCTGGTGCTGGAGCTGCTTGTCCCGGAGGTGCTCGTACTGGAGGTACTGGAGCTGCTGGAGTTGGTGGTGCTTCTGGTGCTGGAGGTACTGGAACAGCTGGTGCCGTGGGCTCTGGAGCTGGAGCCACTAGAGGTGGGGGCGCTGGGGCTGTAGGCGCTGGAGCTAGAGGTTCTTGAGCTGCTGGAGGCGCTGGGGCTG